ACTTATGAAGTAGTTAAAGTGTCAGAAGGCCAAATAGGAGATATTGAGAATGGCTACAAATACCTAAGGATGCCACAGACACATGGCAATCAGGAAAAGGCAATAAGGGCAGCAATCCAAGTATCTCCAGGGAATCAGATACATCCTGAAGTCCCAGTTCAAAGGCATGAAAAAATCTATGCCATCAGCACATAACAACCTTCCGGTTTCCAGGTACCAGATGGGATAATAACCTGGTCAAGAGAAAAATTAGACTTCAAGGGTTTCAAGACCCAGAAACTACTCATTATGAAGGGAGGATTCGACCTGACATCCAGCAACCAGAGCCTGTACACTACCCGGAAAGAACTGTTTTCTGAATGAAAAACACATAGCATCCATGTAACAGAGTGGACCTCACTGAATGGAACACCAGCAGAGTTAATATTTTCTTGTTTTCTGATTAGTGTCAAGGCCACAGTTCTGGATGAAATTCAGTGCATCCATGTAACAGAGTGGACCTTGTTGGATGAAACACCAGTAGAGTAAGTATTTTCTATAGTTCCTTTATTTCCTCATTGTTTGGGGTTACAGGAAACCCCTTTTTAAGCATATACAACAACTCTTTTCATATACAGTATAATGTAAATTATGACAATCTCACTGCTATCCAGTTATCACTAGATGTAGGAGAAAATAAAAGATTCTAAACATAAACCCCAGCTCATGTGACAATGTAGATGTGCATCATTTAACTCCTAGTAACTGCTACAGCAAGTACTAATTGGATACATTTAAGGAATGGGCTGACATACTCCTGCAAATTAACCTTTTCCTTGAGGAACTGCTTATTCACACCATAACAAACCACATATGCATCACAAAGATGTCTTCCAGTGATGAACTGATAATGGAATACCTGAGACAACAACAGATAAACGATGCAGATATGAGGGACATTCCATTACAAGACAAGCTTCTTAATGCATTGTACAATAGACAGATAGTGAATGTGGCTCACATTAGGAAGTTGAAAAGAGCCGGACTGAAAGACAGCACTGTGGCACTAATACTAGCAGCACAGTAAAAAACACACAAAAAAACCACTCTCAGCAACAGATCAATAAAAATGGGGGTCTACCAACCACACATGACTCCGGGTTCAGACTGTGGAAAGAGGCCTCCATGACAAAACAACACATAGTAGCCAGGTGTAATATGTTAGAAAGGACAGCATACATTGTGATAGGGGCAGCTACGACACAGGCAATCTGCACTGTAATCCCCAAGTTGTGAGTGTAGCTGAAGCAGATTCCAGGTGGACATCTGAGACCTCTGCTCAGAAAAGTACAGATCTGGGAACAGGTAAGATACTGTTGAGAAACCTCATACTCCAAGGTCTCTAGTAGTAGTACTTGTAGTAGCAGTACATGGTAGGCAAATAGTAATTTCAGACAAATATATATTTTACCTTTTTGCCTTATAAATTTCACTTTATCAATGAATATTTCTGCTGTACACAACAGATCTTAACTACAACTCATGAAGAGTTGCAAAGCCAGATAACCACTTATGGACAGCTGTCTTGTTGTTAATGAAACGCATCAGCATGATGTTGGTTACTGGCTTGCTGATGAGGCTTAGCATTACCTCCTTCCACCTAAAATTCCGTGGACAGTAAACACAGATCTGCACACACCAAACAGGCCATACAGAATCTCACATTTACAGTGCTGTTACTACTGCTGTTACTCTATAGTTTTTGTATATATATAAGGTTCTATATATTTCCTGGCCCAACAATGTACCTCCTCCTACCCCCCAACCCACAGTGTTTTTGTTCCTGTCATTTTCCCAATAGGACATGTAACTTTTTGGTGACCATTTTTTTGGTATACCAATTTTTTGGGGGGCTTACCTGGAGGTAGCTACCACCTACCCTAAGGGAGTTCAGCCTCTTTTTCTTAGGAAGCCTCAGGCGAGGGCCCTGTGCTGTAGTGACCCCCTGAGGATACCCCTTTAGTGAGATTTAAAAACTTGCTGTGACCCTGGGTGTAGCAAGAAAGTTTGGAAAAATCCCTGGGACACCTTAAACCCTCCTATGTTGACTATTGATATCAAGGACATTAAGGACATTACATATCTTACTTTTTTGGTGGCATTTGGATTCCTATTTTTTGGGTCCTTTCACTTTTGTTCAGTTTTGTTCACTGTTTTTTATCATCTCATTTTGGCTTATTTTGGCACTCTCAAGGTAAGTAACATTGCTTCACTATTAAACAAACGGCATTCGGGGGCTTTATAACATCTGATCTTCCGCACCAATTCTAGAGTTTGGAACGGAATTTGTAGAAGTAATTCCCTTGCCAGAAATGAATAATGTTCTCAACCCTTGTACTAAAGACATTCTGGCCTACTTATAAGTAGAATTGGAAAAGGGTTTAAGCTACAATACATTGAAAGTACATGTCTCAACTCTGTCCACTCTGACAAATGTTAAATGGGCCTTTGATTCAGATATTGCTAGATTGCTTTCTGCAGTTTTGAAAACACATGCTTCAAAGAAATCTGTATATCCTTCATAGGACTTGCCTTTAGTTCTAAAGGCACTAAAATCAGCTGCATTTGAACCCATAAAATCCATTTCTCCTCACTTACTAACTATAAAAAAGTTATCTTGGTAGCATTGGTCTCAGGCAGACAAGTATCAGAACTTCACTCACTCTTCAAAACAGAACCCTTTACAGGCTTCCACCAAAACAGGGCCATCCTAAGGACTGTTCCAGAATGCAGGCCTAAAGTCACATCATCCTTTCATGTTAATGAAGATATTACTCTTCCAGCTTCAAATGCAACCAGAGGATTCTGATGACTTATCAGCATTAGACCTGGTCACATGCTCTAAGATTTATGTGGACAGATCATCTAAATGGACTTCATCTAAGATACTTTTTTGATATATATTAATAAAACAAGCTAATTATTTATAAATGATATACATTTTACACTTAGAGTGAATATATATATATATATATATATATATATATATATTCTTAACTTGTTTTATTAATTATATATTGGGGGATCTGTCTGACAACCCAGGCAGTCCAAGTCTGTTAATCAAGCCGATCCAAGTCATGTGATCGTGGTGTCATAGTGATCATGACTCTTTTCAGTTGGATTGGTTGCATGAGCACTGCCAGGCTTGACAGGCAGCCCCCCCACTGTAGAGGGTAAGTATTTGGGCTAGAGGGAGGGGCCGAACGTGTGCTATGCAGGCCTAATAGCATTAAAGCCCTCCTTTAGTAGGACAGCATGCAAGCCCTAACGTTGGGAAATTGTGACAGATTGGGCCCGCTTGATTTACAAGGAACTTACCGGGAACTTCAACTTTTACCACACAACTAAGATTCAGAATTAACACTATTAAAGAAACACGCACAAACAAACCAAGTAGAGAAATAGGGAGAGAGAACATGGGAAAATAACTTTGTTCACCACTGGAACAATACACAGAAGGTTGTGTAAAATTCCCTTAATTTTCTTTTGAAACACTTATTACACATGATCTAATAAATGAGATTGCTATATCCACTATACAAGCCAGCAATCAGCCCTTCTTTATTTTACTTGCAGTTCAAGTGCAAGACACTGTTACATACATTATGGCACAAACTGCTCTGTAAGACTCTTCTACAGATCATATATCTTTCAAAACATGTATACATTTCCTACCATCCTATACTCTACATTTGCAGATATATTAAATATCTTCCATGATAATTTCTGATGTTATGTTATGATTACAAACATGCATTCCTAATGCTAGAGTCTTATACTACATAGTTAAATTCTTGTAACTGCTTATTTTCCTTAGCATGCTGGTTTCATCACTGTCGTCTCGCATCCACTAGCTGAGATCATCAAAATTCCCCATAGGGAAGCAGAGGGGGCTAGTGTGTATGCATGTGTTGCGGTACCTGTCCTGATGAAAGCTCCATGTTGGAGCTGAAACGTTGATATTTTATATGGAATAAATAAAAGCAAAATTTTACTACTTCAACCAAGTACCAGCAGTGCAATTGTTTCTACACTATTGATGTCCCAAACTGTTCGCCGAATGGTTC